ACGGGCTGTTTTGGAGGGGCCAGCCGGCCAGTAGGACAGCTGGTCTTGCTCATTGTGCTCTCCAGATCAGGACCATTCACATTTCTGGGTGTTTTTGCATTCTCCCCTCTGAGCTGCTTCCCTTGGGAACTCACGTTCCGGCCACGTTCGCCGACAGTGCTGGCTGCAGCAGCCTCTGTGGGATCAAAACCCACAGACACAACTTCAGGGGAACCCAGTGGTGATGCAGGGTCCCCAGGGTTCCTGCACAGGCACGGGTCCAAACCAAGGGAGCTACGAGGTCTGTTGGAGAGCTTTGTGCTCAGGGGCAAGATGCCAGCTTCCACCACGCCAGGCAAGCCTGGCTCGGATGTCTGTGCTGCACCCTGCGCCCCCATCCCACCATCCACTGGGCTTGTCCGCTTATATGGAGAAAGGCCACCACCCAGCTCCAGCCTGGGCTTCTTTCCCACCTGGGTGCTCTGTCTGGAGGAGAGCTGGCGTTTCCTGGAGGCAGGCAGTGCTTGTGGAGGATGGCTGACAGACCCAAGTGTTTGCTGTTTACGGGGTTCAGACAAAGAAGCAATTGCCCCTCCAATGGGAGCAGCGGCTACCTGAGTCCCCCAGCCCAGGTCAGGAGCCAAGACCACATCCGTATCCCCCGCCGCAGAGTCCTCTGTGGTGCCACATGCAGCACAGACCCCTCCGAGTCCTGCTCCAACAGGCAGCCCCGCAGAACAGTTCAACAACCTCCCTCCTTCTCTGGAGTTACTGACCCTGTTCCTGGGCAGGCAAGAGGAGCATCCCTTGGTCTTCAGGCCATGATCACGCTCTGAATCACTTAACAGTTCCACAGCACTGTGCTCAGGCTGCTGCCTTTCCTTTCCCAGCTCTGCTGTCAGCATCTCAGTTCCTCCAGTGACTCGTGCTGGAGGCACTAAGCCTTCATCTGCCAGGCAGGACCGCAGCACCCTGAGAAGAACCATCAGTTAATGCTCACTCACTCCAGGCCTGGCAACACCTCCCCCCCGGCACGACGAAGCGTTTTCTGCAGTGCAGGACGTTTGAAGTCCTTGCTCAGGAGGTGGTAAGAAATTTCAGACCAGTGAGGCTCAGCAAACAGTGACACTGCAGCTGGCAGAGGGGCCGGGCAGCACGAGGGATCTCAGCCTTCTCAGCAGCCCAAGGTCTGGGCACAAGAGTGCTGCAGAGCAGCGGGGTTTGCGGCAGACACAGGACAGAAGAGGTGGCCCCAGCTGTCCTTCCTGCTTTAAGAGGCACTAGAAGCCCACGGGGAGTTCCCTGAAGCAGAGAAGCTACAGAAACTCAAGAACATCTCCCACGGCTCATCTAAACCTCCCCTGAGTCAGCCGCAGCCCTCTGCTCCCCTCTGCCCGACTCCCTGGCACAGGGCACGAGCGAGGGACCGGCACCGCAGCAGGATGGAGACTCAGGCTCTGTCCTCAGGAGCACGCCGCGTGGCACCACGCCACTTCTCGGCTCCTGGAGTTACTGGACTCACCAACCCTCACCTGGCTGACTGCTCCACAAAGCTGCCGGTGAGCTGCGAGATGACGCGATCCACAGGGGCGTACTGCGAGTCGTCCAGTGCAAACCGCTTATGCCGGGGGCTCTGGAGATGCTGGAAGGCAGCAGAGACCCTTTTAGCCACACTCACCCTTTCTCAGGAGGGAAGTCTGCAGCAGCAGCTGCTTCCCACAGCCTCACAGACTAGAGGGCAAACAGCCTTTTCGCCAGATAGAGCCGATGTTTGGAAGCAGATTTGGGAAAGGCAGGCAATGCCGTTACTCCGGTTGCTCACGGGGAGGGTTCTGTTCCCACAGACACCTGCTGACGAGGAGGCTGTGCCCGCACCCAACAGCAGCCTGCGGCTTTCCCAGCAGGCAGTAGCACGTGCTGGCCATCACTGAAGGCCGGGCTCTGAAAGCCACATTGCTGGGCGTCTTCCAGGAGCTAAAACAAACCCTCTTTGTGTAAGCCTGTGCCCCTCACTTCCCCTCTGACTGCTCAGGTTGCCCAGAGAAGCTGTGGCTGCCCCATCCCTGGCAGTGCTCAAGGCCAGGTTGGATGAGGCTTTGGGCAACCTGGTGTAGTGGAAGGTGTCCCTGCCCATGGCAGGGGGGTTGGAACTAGATGATCTTTGAGGTCCCTCCAACCCAAACCGTTCTATGACTCTATGACTGCCATGGAATAGGCTTCCCCCCTCCCAGATCAGGTAACAAGGTGATCCTTGAAGCTCTCCTAGCCCCAGAGATGAGCACGTTGCGCTCCAATTTTCAAAGCCATTGCTGGCCCAGAGCAGGAGGCCGGAGCACAGATACACTACGGCTTCCATCTACGAGGCTGATCCTCCTGGATACCACAGGGGCTGTACTTGGAGCAGCCTGCCTTCCTTCCGAACGGAGTTCATGGTGATAACGGGTGACATAATTAACGAAGCCACTGAGTGGCCCCCATAACTTCTGCAAGGAACCAGGTCTCAGGAGAACCTCTACCTTCTGCAGCTCTTCAAAGGTCTCTTGGCAGCACTCACAAAATCCCCTCTTTTTCTTCGGCACAGTGACCGGTGTAGATCGGGGGCTCTTCTCCCTCTCGCTGCGCATCGGACAGCCTCCCACACCCCTGCAAGGGAACAGCAGAGACCTTCCCTGCCCTCACTCGACAGCACCAGCAGGCGCCCAGCTGCCTGGGGA